ATTTACCTACTGAAGTGGTCATGCCATTTTGCTGTTTACTACAGGGTATGTAAAGCAAAAGATGAGGCTTCAGTTGCATTTGCAGTTGCAGAGCTGCGACTGAAGATGACTGCCGCATTCCAAAAGATGCAGGCCCCGAAAAAAACCAAAAACAAAAACCTTTAAAAAGAGACCCAAAGACTATATGGCTTTGGTCTGGTATAAATCGCTGTTAATGCTCTTGTTGTTGTTGTTGTTATTGTTGTTTGTGGCTGTGCTGCAGGAACCAGTTTGGTTTGAATTTTATGTGTATTTGGTTGAAAATTTACGAGTTTGGCGAATAAAGCAGCAAAGAATTCAATGAACTCGTCTTCACTTCGACTTCTAAGCCAGCTAAGCAGCAGCTCCAACAAACACATGTAGCTTAAACGTTTACACATATATATATATATATATATATATGTATATATATATATATATATATATATATATATAATATATATATATATATATATATATAAAGGTATATACCATATAGACACTTAAAATGGAGGCCTATCTTCCTCCTAGTTATGCAAATGCCCGCCTGTCCGTCTGCCTGCCCACCCGCTGCAGTGGACTCTAAGGCCAGGAAATTGGTTTCGAATTGGTTTGGCTACGAATTTTTATGCCTGCCAAGAACAACATCAGCAGCAATTGTTGTTGCTGTAGTTGTTGTCGCAGTTGTTGCAGTTGTTCACTTGTAGCTGCAGGTTGTAGTAACATTTGTCTTGTCATTGCAGTTTGCAGACCCTTCTGCTGCACAGCCTCAAATTCACAACATCCACTTCTCGACCGCATCCCCCCGATTATTCCCTTTCATGCTTTGGGCAATTAGCTGCGAACTTCAACTCGGCTACGTTTGGCTGCATTCTCAGCTGCTTCGGCCGGTTCATCATTGGCTAGCCGCTGCTTCTCTCAACTCTTCTCTAACGCATTTTTGCCTCTCATGCCGAAATCGTGGCCAAGTTATAATTAAAATGCAGACACACAGAGTAACAATTTATGGCCACAAGAGCTGGCTATTTAAGTATTAATAGCCATCATTTAAGGTCTTTAAAATCTGTTGGCAGCTTAATAAAGATGCACCACAATTAAGATAACTCCTAGCTTCTTTGGAGATCCATGAGAAAGTTCAACATTTGCTTAAGAAATTATGAGTTTGTCATTAAATTTGTTTAGAAACTTTGTACTACAATCACTCGACAGTAAATTATGGAAAGTCTTTAAAATAAATTTAAAAATAGATTTAATCATGGCTTAATCTATAAACTAACAAGTTTTGATGTATAAACATTAAATCGATAACAATTGTGCAATTCAGAACTATTAAAAACTATTCAAAGAACTGAATTTCTATAGTTATCGATTAAATCGATTACTGACTATAATTCAACAAGCGTTATAAACTCCACAATATACGAAGCGCGTGCGAAATGTAAACTAAAACATAAAAAAAATTAACGTTAAGTATTATAATAAAGTATTTATTTAAGTAATTGTTATCGATAACATATTGAGTCCGTTATACACTTAGATATGTGAGAAACACGCATAGTTAAACGCCCAAAAGCATTAAAGCACTATTCACAGATTAAGTTTAAAATAGTAATAAATTAATCGAATACTTATTAAAAGTCGATAAGTGTTATATACTCTAAAATGTATCAAGCACTTGCAAAAATAAAACTTAAGTCTTTAATAATTAAATTGATGAGGAAACAAATACCTAAAAAAATGTTTTATTTGAGAATATTGTTATCGATAACATATCGAGTCAAGAATAATCATTTACCTTTCTATATGCATAAATTCACTTTACACCAGCTGGACAAGCATGAACGCGTGTTCACATACTTATGTTGGCAACTGTGCCAAGTTAGAGAGACACTCTTCTTAAGTTACACAAAGTTCTTTCGCAACTAGAGACACGAGTTGAGGTTAAGTCTTGCATAAACAAACTTGGTTGGCAATCGGACACTACGTGAGCTGAACTGAGCTGAAGCTCCCCTCACGGCTTGCAGCTTCCCTGATCCAACTGCAGTTTCCGCTTTCAGCTGCCATTCGAAGTGCTACAGTTATCCAGTGGCAAATACAGTTATAGTCAAACACACACAAAACACAACACATACGTGCCTTCAGTCTTTTGGGACGACATTAGATTACAGCAGCAAGCTAAAAGAGATCTACAAAGCGTCGTAGCTATCTATGCAAATTCCTCTCGATCGTCTCGCGAAACGTGTGCAAGAAAGAAGAAGCTGAAACTCGAGACAAAATGGACTTCTATATATATATATATTGTAATTTATATTCTTTTATTCAGGTGTTCAGTCGATAAAATGCAGTTGCTCTCTATTTCATAAAGAACGTGTTGAACGTGCGAAATGTTTTGTAGATTAGCATTCAATTAAACTATTTTTCGACTTGTTTTTTCGTGTTTTTGCGTTGTGTTATCTCACACCTGGTCATCTCATAAATCAAGAGAGTGATCAAGCCATGATGTAAGAGCTGTAATATCATTGTGATTAATTTATTGAAATTAACATAAATGGCAACAGCTTTAACTTGTACACAGACCCGGGCACAGAGACTGGCAGCTTTTTCGGCCAACATTTATAATTAAATTTAATTACCTCTGCTGCTTCTTAATGATGCAGTCCACAAGCAACAGAAATAAAAGGTATCCCGACTAGAGAGCTGAGGGAATGAAACCCGTTTTCAACGTAAATGAATGTGGCATTTTATTAAATAAATAATTATGAATGAAAGAGTAAATAATGATGTATGTGTGTAGCAGAGGGCCACACGGACTGACGGGCAGACGGACAAACACATTAGCTCTTACTCGTAGCCAAAATGTGAATTGGCCACGAAAGGTTTCATCAACGAAATTTGAGAATTTGCGACAAGTCGAAAGGAAATATGTGTACATATATACATATATAAAGAAATAAAATCCTACGAATGCAAAAAACAACAAAAATGCGAGAGGAAAGTCAAGAAATTGACGCAGAACTTTTTAACCACATTTTAAATTATCACAGAGGGGAAACAATGCCATCAAGAACAGAATAAAATGCAAACATTACCAATAAAAATGCAAAAATATAATACTTAAGGGGAGCAAATAAAAACTTTATCTATATATAGGGAATTGTATTCATAGAGCACTTATTTTAAGTACAAGCAAATGTTTTCAAGCGATTAGATTTATTAGCACGTTTTACTAAATGTTACTTTACAAGTTGCTATTAATAATAATTTTATCAGATTTTCATATATTAAAAAGAAAATTTTAAGCACATACGAAAGTTAGGAGCAGAATTTATTTATAATTATAAAAATTTACAAAAAAGAGTTAGAAAGGAGTGTGAAGAAAACTCAAGGAAAAAGAAACATGAACAGAGTAGTTGAAGTAAAAATAAAAACAAAAAATGAAAGCTAGAAATGTTGCAAATTTTATGAAAGCAAAAGAAGGAAAGAATTTCAGAGAAGAATTTCAGCGAGAATTTCAGCGAGAATTTCACAATTACAGAGCTAAAAGCTAATGTATTCCGCTTAAATTAAAAAAAAAAAAAACACATGTATTCCTCTTCTTCTTCAACTTCTACATACAAGTAAATGATGTATCTCAAAGGGAATTACCGCTTCAAAGTACATCTCTGAGAAAATTGACACAGAAACACTCAACAAGCCAACTTTTCGCATATTCATAAACCAACACTCTTTCAAGCTCCAAGAAGGAGGTGCTAAAAAATCATAAATATGTTAAAAAAGTCTAAAATAGATTGCAAATAATTATAAAAAACTAGAATTAGCAAACATTGAATTTGGAACACCTTTCGACTAATTTAAAAAGCAAATAAAAAGAGGAAGACAAACGCAGTTCAGATTTTCAGATAACGTTAACAACCCATAAAAACTAAATTAAAGGGTTTTATGTTTGGAAACAATCAAAATTTAGTTTCTACATCGAATTGAATTATGCAGATTAGCATAAAAATTTAGTCTAATTAGCGTATTCTAAGAGACAAGAGTCTTTATCTGGCATTTCATCTACATATGTGCTGGTTGTATATTTGCCGCCGCTCTCCTGGCCAAAAGTGTGTCAGCTAACGGTTCGTCGGCTTGTCTCTCATGAATTGCCCCAATGATAATTAATAAAATTTTGGCTCGATTCTAGGCCAATAGAAAATTGTATAAAACACGAACCCAAACAAACCGGCTAAACGCAACCAGACAGAGGCAGCGGCAGTGGCAGAGGCGGGAAAGCGCGCCAGTGGAACAGGCAGACACAGGGTTGCATTGCAAAAGGGTGGCAACGGGCCAGTACCAAACAAAACAAAACAAAAGAAAAGGCAGCAGCTGGTTTCGCTTGGGCATGAAAATCAAATAAGAATATATTGATTTTTCTTATTTGCCAGCGCGCAGAAACAAAGTCAAGGAAGTGGCCAATAAAAATAATTTGCAAACAAAAACAAAGCAAAACAAAGCACAGCGAAACGAAGCGAGGCGAACCAGTGCCAAAAACAAAACTGGCAAAAACAATGTCAATGCACGCCAAAATAAAAGCAATGAACAAGAAGAAGAAGACGAAGAAGCCGCACGCAAAGACAAGAACAAGCAAAGCAGACAGCAGCAACAACAATGCGCCTAGCTAAGCACGCAAAGGGTGGTGTAGAAGGACAGGAGAATGCTTGAGGGGGGGTGGAGTGTTGTAAATGTCAGCTCAAGTTAACGGAGCCACGCGGAACACACACGCAACAACAATAACAACAACAATGACAAAAGAAATGTTTTGTTGTGCAGCGCCAGGCAGCAACAACAAACAGACAACAGACAGCGGCACCTGCCGCCGAGGTTCTATGCCAACCATTTCGTTGCGCTCCGACATGTCTGTCCGTCAGTTCGTTAAGTTTTTGTTGTTGCTTAGCTCCTGGTCGCGTGGCAGCGACACTTGACGTTCAATTCGACTGACTTACCAGCGTTCCTCGCTACTGATGAGCCTCTGCTCCCGCCTCTGTCTCTGCTGTTACTTTGATTTGGCTGTCAAAACGTTGGCTGCGCCGCTTACAAAAGCAACAGCAAACAAACGCCTCTGCGGCTTTACGGTAAAAAAAAATCACACTCACTGCACTATGTTGTAATTTTTTAAAATTTTTATTTATTTTAAAATTTATACAACTTGTAAATATTCACCCCAATAATTTATTTTATGCTTATTATATATAATTTTCACTCAGCAGTTGACTGTGTTTGCTTTGCTTAGCTTTGCCGATTTTAGTGGGATTTTTCACGCGCCCTGGCACACATACACACGCACGCAGACACACGTACACACAGAACGCTTGCACCTGTGTGCGAGAATTGTCGAAGAAATTTATGAAATTTAACGTTAGGCTTCGCACGCGCCCCACTTCCAACTGCTTCAACGTTCAAAAATCGACTGTCTATAAAGCCAACCCAGCGCATACGACTCAAACTTGTGTGTGCAGCGAAACGGTTTGCCTTGCGCCGGCTAACCGTTGGTTGGCCACGCAACATGTTCGACGTGGGAGTGACTGTATGTGTGTGCGGGTCAGTTTGGGATAAGCCTTGAGCGATAAAAGGCCGCCACGCTCTGCGGGCAACATATTTTTTACTTTTTGACCCGCATACCCCAATCTGATATTTGTATCTATAAATAGTAAGTAAAGCAAAAACAAAGACCAATTTTAGCTACTTCAGTAAATTCTTAACGATTGAAGCAAATTTTAATTTATCTTTACACGGTACCCGAGGATGCACTGTAAAAAACTAGCTCTGGGTTTAAATTTCTCATTATATGTTGAATTTATTTATTTTTTTTTTCTTAACTTAACATAAATTTTTAAGTTGTCGGGGCATGAGTAACTGAGTGCTAAGAACTCACCTTTTGAGCGTGAGCCCTCAGATTTCTGATGAAATTATTTTTAATAAATTCTTTCATTTTCTTTTATTTATGTAGTTTTTCTATTTATTTATTACATTTACTTCATTTTTTTTTATTTTATAATATTTAAATATAAAAATAAATATTTAACTGTTTAATTTTTTTATTTAATTTTATTTTTCAATCATAAATCAGTGTGTCATTGCGGTTTCCTTTAAAAAAAAAAAACATTTTAATTTTTACCAATTTTCTTATCGGTTGCAATATAAATCACCAAATTTTTTTACTGTGTACTAAGGAAATGCAATTATCGTAAGGTTCATGAATGGCCACTTAGCAATATCTTTAATAAGTCTGGTCCAATGGGCCATAAATCTAATTTGGAATTTTCACTTATCAGAACTCACATACTACCGAAAAGTTGCATAAATTGTTTGATTGTGGCTTAAGTGAGGTTCATTCCTTTTGTGACTAATAACAGTAACAGATAAGGCGACATTGAGGTATACTAAAAAGTGAAATAAGCACAAATTTAAAGTTATTTAAAAAGCATAAAAATTTCAGATAATTGTCGGAAGTAAATTAGCTTCTTGAGAATATTTTTTTTATTTCTATTACAAATATTAAGTTTTAGAACTTTCAATACTTTATTATATATTTCTAAGTGTTCTTTTGATTTTAAAGTCAGTATCTATTACAAAGATATCGCATTATTCAATATTTTTTTATATTTACTACATATTAATTAATTTTGAAATTATATTATTTATTATATTTACAGCACTGCCAACTTGTAGCATTGACTTCTAACCTGTTGTCAAGTGGTGGCAACCGCATCGAACATGTTGGCTCTGAGCAGCGCATCTCTGACACAACAAGCACACAGCAAACAATAAACGTAGCCGGCATTCAAGATGCGTCGAACATGTTGCATGTAAAGCACTTGACGCTGCGTCGAATGCACGTGGCTCATTTGAATTTGCGGTTGTGTTTTGTTGTGTATTGGCCACAGGGGCTAAAGGGTGGGCAATGGGGCGGGCTAGTAAAAGTTGGGAATTGCGGTAAATTTATCGGTTCGAATTGAAAATATTTATGCAGGTGAAATTTTTGATTGAATATTAACAATTAATAAAGCGTTTCGATTAAAAACTTTATAGATAAGAATATATTTTTATTCACATATATTTATAATATAACTATTTTTACAATAATGTAGCTCTGTAAGATTTTACAATGGGCACTCAGTCAGAGGCTGCTTTAATGCTTTCAAATATATAAAAAGCTTTGATATTTTATATATATTGAGAACAAAGAAACCTAGTATTCCTTAAAATCGAATAAGTTAGATATTTAGATTGTGCAGAAATTATCACCCTTTTAATGTTCGCAGCACCTTTAAAAGCACATTAAAAAGCTTTTAGTGCGACTTTATGTGATTTCAGTCTATTTAGACTTTGTCAGTTCAGGTTACAGCAAATTAAATTAATTAGAAAATAGCTTTTAAAGCACATTAAAAACTTAATACTTTTTCAGCCAATTAGAACTCGTCGCTAAGCTAGTGCCCATCGAAACTTTCATTTGTGCACAGTAAACGAAACGAATTAATCTTTATTAAAAAATAGATGGAAATTCCTGAGATTTCATTTGATTGCACAGCTGCTGCTGTGGCCAATGGCCAATAGCCAATGGCAGATGGTCGATGCACTTCTTCAGATAATATACAAATCGATTTTAAGCACTTGGCAATTGGCTCGACTGGGCCGCAAATTGACAATTTTTGACGCCATCGAAACTGCATTTGGATTGCAGCAATTTCCGACGCTTTCCCGGATCGCTTTTCCAGTTAACGGCAGTTGCACTTTTCATTTCTGTTTGCATTTTCATTTGAAAAGGACAAGAATCGCAATCAACTTCGCTGCCGTTCGCTTTTTTCTCTTTTCTTATTTCACTCGAAGTTTTTCTTTTCTCGTTTTTGCACAACTGAAACAGAAGTTGGCTCGAAACGAGTTCACAAAGTTTCCACTGTTTGCCCTGCCGTCTATTGATAAACTTGACTTCGTATGCACAAGTGCATTTTATTTGGCAAACACAGCCCTCTCCCGGCCTTCCCAACCCTACCGGCTCCCTAGCGACAATTGCCGCCTTTGTTTAGAAATTGTGCTAACTCGCGACCAGAGTCGACGTCAAAAGTGCATATGAAGATGTTCCCTGGTTGCCAACTAGCCAAGTGAAACCTCGTTTGACTCGAGTTTCACCAGACTTCAATTGTATCTAAACCAAAACTTTGTGACTGAACTCAGTTTGAGGTTTTCAATTAAGTCTAAAGCGAAGAAGCCAAGGGATTTCAAAATGGATTTCACATATTTACTTTTTGCCCACAAAACATTTTACAAAAACTTTCTGTTAAAAATGCAGATTGGTTTTCGTTGACTACGTGCTTTATTGGAGCTATATATAGCAATATATATATATATAGATAACAAGTAAATGATTTGTTGTTATATATACTTTTCGCATTATATCATATCATATTTAAAGAAAGATATTGATGGATATAATTCTATAGAATTTGATAAGAAACTTTGATTACGCTAAGTTATCTCTCGATAACATATCGACTATAACTTATATTTGATCATTTTTTAAATATCAACTAATACTATAGAATGGCTATTTCTAAATACATTTATCTCTTCTTAGATCCATTCTTCTTTTACATAACTATTTTTCAGACTAACTTTCATCATCAGTGATCATCACCAGTTTGTACATAATTTTTGCTCTTATTGGACTTTAAGATATTTTTAAATCTATAAAACGCAATTGCTTTTACTCTTCTTTTCAAAAATATTTGAATCATAAATTTGTTAACGAAGAGTTGGAAACTTGAGTCTCAAGTTGTAATTAAGTTTGGGTAGGAAAGTATTTAAGCATCCGCTAAATTAACGCAGATCAATGAATCATCATTATTTGTCAAGCTATTAGATTCCACGATCATGATTAGATAGCTAAGATCTGAAATGGTTATTTTCCGGTAAGCAGAGAACGAGCTTCCCGATTTTTCTTGAAAATTTACATATAATATTCTGATATTTAATACATCTGAAATGAATATATGAATATATGTATATTCATTAATAAAATATGGTTGCATCGATAACATATCGATATACGACTGCTTTTCATCTTATCAGCGGCAACACATTTTCATTTTTATTTTCGATTTAAAGAGTTCATGCATATTAAATGAATTTATTTTTTATGCGCTTTTGGCCAGCTGCGTCGCAACGGCTGGTTGGACTACCTGATTTGGTGCTCTGCCAATTTGCTGGCCAATTGAAAATGCAATGCACGCCCCGGACCAAAAACTCATTTGCAACACTTCACGCAATGCAGGCGATTTCGATTTAGCCAAGATCAAGGGCGATAATAAAGAGCGCGGCGCGGCGCGGCCCGGCGCATTGCAGCGCGTTGCGTGCCACAGCAGCGGCTATAAATAGCAGCGGGCAGCAAACAACAAACAACCAACAGCAGCTTGGTCTTATCCCAGCTGGCTGATCTTTACGCAGCAGCAAAAACAACAAGCTACAGCAACAGCAACAAGCAACAGCAACAAGCAACTACAACAACGACAACAACAACATTCCTTTCGACATTTAATTAACGATCGCGATTGCAATCAATGCAACGCGCCTTGCCACGCCTCCCCGCCACCGCCCCCGCTACCTGCCCGCCCTGTGGTGGCCAGTTAGGCCACAAAGCTGACAAATACTGTAATTAATTTTAATTGCAGCGATTGGCGCCCGCTTTTTCCGTCTCATTAAAGTTTGCTGCCTGCGGGCCACAATTTAGGCCAACGAAATAAAGGAGTCGAGCGAGATTAAGCGAGCTTTGAGGTCCTGCAAGCTACAGGATTGTCTATCATAAACGGAAAGCAGCAGAATTGAAGCGGCTATAAGCAGCAGCAACAACAACAACAACAATGACAACCACGTTTTGGTACGTGTTTTTGCACCTAATTGCAGGCGTGTCGCCTACAAATGTTGCACGTAGAGGACGCAACACAGGGGTGCCAGGGCAGAGGGTAGGCGTGTCAGAGAGGAAGTCGTGGCATTAGCAGCGCTTATTGCAGCATCAGTTCTTTGTTGATGGCCATCGAAGTAGTTCTTGTTGCTGTTGCTCTTTGCATAGCTTCTAGAATTGTGTGAATCAAC